CCTGGCCCAGGCTGCCCAGGGAAGCTGTGGCTGCCCCATCCCTGGGGGTGTTGAAGGGCAGGTTGGATGGGGCTGGGAGCAGCCTGGGCTGGTGGGAGGTGTCCCTGCCCATGCAGGGGGGGTTGGATCTTGATGATCTTTTAAGGTCCCTCCAACCCATCCCCTCCCACAGTTCCACGAGAGGAGCGAGCAGAAGGAAAGAGGCCGGGATAGACCAACATCTCCCCCACCTTCCAGGCTCTCCCTTGATGGCCACGTCCCCCCCACGGTGCTACCTGCGCAGATCACCCCGGCGTCCTCGTGGTGGCCACAGTTGTGGATGCCCCAGCCCAGGCTGTAGCAGGCAGAGAGGCCGGGCTCGCTGCCCTCGCAGTTGACGTTGTCCAGCAGGATCCGTCCCGCGCCGGCCCGGAGCTGCCAGCGCTGCCCCACAGCCCAGCTGCCTGCAGACCCCCGCGGCGTCCTGCAGGTCCCAGCTGTCATCACACACCGTCCCCCACTTGTGGTCGTGCAGAACCTCGACCCGGCCCAGGCAGCTGGTGGAGCCGTTGGCCAAGCGCAGGGGCTGCTGATCCGCAGGGTCCGAGTCTGGGTTGGGGACAAGGGACACGTTGGGGTCCCACCCTCAGACCAGGGACACGTTGGGGTCCCACCCTCAGACCAGGGACACGTTGGGGTCCCACCCTCAGACAAGGGACACATTGGGGTCACCCTGAGACAAGGGACACGTTGGGGTCCCACCCTCAGACCAGGGACACGTTGGGGTCCCACCCTCAGACAAGGGACACGTTGGGGTCCCACCCTCAGACGTGGCTCCAGGGGGGCTCTGCAGCCTCCTGAGCCTTGGGGTGGAAAAAACCCTCTAGGTGCTCTTGGGATCTGCTCTGGTTGAGGTGGGGAAAGGGGTCACAGGCTTCAGCCCAACCCCACCAACCATCAACTCCACTCAACCAACCACAACCCAACTCTACCAACCACAACCCATCTCTACCAACCATCAACTCAACTCTACCAACCACAACCCAACTCTACCAACCATCAACCCAACTCCACTAACCATCAACCCAACTCAACCAACCATCAACCCAACTCACCCAA